CAGTAACTGAAGGTAATGGAGATAACACTGAAGACTGCGACTTTGTTTGCCCAGAAGTTGAAGGAATCTACGCTCATCCTCGTGACTGCTCCAAATTTGTAACTTGTGCTAACTCACGGCCAAGCACAGCAAGCTGTCCTCCAAACCTCGTTTTCAATGCTGCTAAGAAGGTGTGCGACTGGTCTGAGAATGTAGAGTGCACTTCTGCATCTGATGCTGAATGTGTTCTTACAATTGTGGAGACAGTCACTGATGCCCCAGTACTGAAAAATGGAGATAACACTGAAGACTGCGACTTTGTTTGCCCAGAAGTTGAAGGAATCTACGCTCATCCTCGTGACTGCTCCAAATTTGTAACTTGTGCTAACTCACGGCCAAGCACAGCAAGCTGTCCTCCAAACCTCGTTTTCAATGCTGCTAAGAAGGTCTGCGACTGGTCTGAGAATGTAGAGTGCACTTCTGCATCTGATGCTGAATGTGTTCTTACAATTGTGGAGACAGTCACTGATGCCCCAGTAACTGAAGGTAATGGAGATAACACTGAAGACTGCGACTTTGTTTGCCCTGAAGTTGAAGGAATCTACGCTCATCCTCGTGACTGCTCCAAATTTGTAACTTGTGCTAACTCACGGCCAAGCACAGCAAGCTGTCCTCCAAACCTCGTTTTCAATGCTGCTAAGAAGGTCTGCGACTGGTCTGAGAATGTAGAGTGCACTTCTGCATCTGATGCTGAATGTGTTCTTACAATTGTGGAGACAGTCACTGATGCCCCAGTAACTGAAGGTAATGGAGATAACACTGAAGACTGCGACTTTGTTTGCCCTGAAGTTGAAGGAATCTACGCTCATCCTCGTGACTGCTCCAAATTTGTACGTTGCGCTAACTCACGGCCAAGCACAGCAAGCTGTCCTCCAAACCTCGTTTTCAATGCTGCTAAGAAGGTGTGCGACTGGTCGAGAAATGTAGAGTGCACTTCTGCATCTGATGCTGAATGTGTTCTTACAATTGTGGAGACAGTCACTGATGCCCCAGTAACTGAAGGTAATGGAGATAACACTGAAGACTGCGACTTTGTTTGCCCTGAAGTTGAAGGAATCTACGCTCATCCTCGTGACTGCTCCAAATTTGTACGTTGCGCTAACTCACGGCCAAGCACAGCAAGCTGTCCTCCAAACCTCGTTTTCAATGCTGCTAAGAAGGTGTGCGACTGGTCTGAGAATGTAGAGTGCACTTCTGCATCTGATGCTGAATGTGTTCTTACAATTGTGGAGACTCCGACAACGACTGCCGCACCGACAACAACCGCGCTCTCCGCCGACCGCCGCTCCGACAACAACGACTCCGCCGCTCCGACAACAACCCCCGCTCCGACAACAAAACAACCCCGCTCCGACAACAACCCCCGCTCCGACAACAACCCCGCCTCCGACAAAACCCCCGCTCCGACAACAATCCGACAACAACCCCCGCTCCGACAACAACCCCCCGCTCCGACAACAACCCCCGCTCCGACAACAACCCCCGCTCCTACAACAACTCCCTCTGGCGAATGCAACTTCGCATGCCCAGAGAAAGGACTGTATCCTCATCCACGTAAATGTTCAGAGTATGTTTTTTGTGACAACTCAGTGGCCGATGTTCGCCAATGCCCAGCTGGTCTTCATTACAATCCAACAAGCAAGAACTGTGACTGGCCTCAGAATGTAGCTTGCAGTGATAATGAGGAAGCATCCTGCACCTTATCTAACCCTACAACTCCACCAAGACTTCCTAATCCAAATAAGCAAATTTGTGACTGCGAGTGTTGTCTGAAGGCCCATCCTGATGATTGTACATCATATTATTATTGTGCAGTAAGTATGGGTGCCATGCTTTCACAAACTTCTTATATGAATATGTCGTATCAGACAAGAAAACATCATTTCAGGCACTAAATTGGTCTTATTCTTTCAGCCTGGAGCCGATGCACAGTTCTTTGCCTGTTCAGAGGGTCTAGTGTTCCACCCGGAATTCAAGCAATGTGTCCTACAAACTCAGTACCCTCAGTGCCAGCCAGAAGTGCCACCAACATGTGACCCAACTTGCGAGTGTCTTTACCCATCTGAAATCTGTTCAGAGTATTTCAAATGTGAGTTTGTTGTAAATGTTTCTAGAAATACATAGTTATCTATATCGATTTAACACGAGGGTCTAACATTTAGATAAACTTACTTAAAAGATGTCTTAAAATCAGTAATATAGATACAAGCTGACATAGAAACGTTGCTCTCCATTAAATGAAATGTCTTTTAAAGGTAACATGCAAGGAACACCCATCAAGTACGAGTGCACTGGAGGCCTTGTCTTCAACAACAATACCTATAGCTGCGACTTTCCTCGGAATGTACAGTGTTCTGAAACTCGTCCCAAGAGAAGCCTCACCTACGACGATGCTCCTCAACAGTATGTGACAGGTATGGGAGAATAGCATGTCTTTTTGAGGTTATATCTGCTTCAATGT